CCCGGCCTGGTAGGAAGTGACCCATAAACGTATCCCTACGAAGGATTTATACAAAGCCAGTCTGCCTCATAGAAACTCCATATGACCATTAACTGGCCTGCAAGGCCTGCCAGGAGGCCTAATTACAGGTCTACAGAGCCCAATAACAAAAGCTGAAGAGCTTTAGCCTAGGGATGATCTGCTTTATACTGACTTGAGAGAGTCCATATAGAGTGACAAAAAGAAAGAGGTTTAGCTTTAAAATTCTCCCAAGAGACAAAGCATTGTAGCTAAGTCTGGAAGGCCCACATGCAACATACTTCAGATAGGCTTAAACATACCACCCTCTCAAAATTAACATTCAACTATTGCCTGCTTAACATCTGCTCTAACATGGCAAGTTGCTGTGATATTGTTAGAGGATGCTAAAAAGGCTTTCTTGTATCTCAATATTAAGAAGGGTAAATAAATAAGGTTGTGCAAATATAAATGTATAGCTGAGACCAACAACTTCTACTGAACGACAGTTTTTATAAATCAAAAATCAGTTGCCTTAAAAATTAAAGTGGACTGCTTTGCTATCTTCAAGTATTGCCCTGCCTAATGAGAACAAAGATACTGACAATAATCTACACCAACAAAGAAAAAAATTATTTAACAACGTGCATAGCAAAGTCGGCATGAACAAAGGACTTGGAGACAAAACTTCTTGACAGCACTATATTACCTGAATATAAAAATGGTCATCCTCCCCTCATCCCCTCACAAATACAGGTGAGTATTTTTTATTTTCCTAGATCTCCTACAAAGAGAGACCAGAAGTCATAATTCCCATCCCCAAAATGAACCAGCAAAAAAAAAAAAAAAAAAAAAAATCCAATTTAAAAGAGTCTGGTTTACTATTTGCTATCTTTTGTCTTTCAGAGAAATCAGTTGTTATTTCCTAAATTAATATCTAAGTTGGATTCTAAAAGCAGATTTTCCCAAGATACTAAATATCTACAATTCCTGCTGAGGCTGATCAGGTGGTGATTGGACCTACCTTCCCTAAAATCAAGCAGCTCTGGTGATAAAGAAGGCAGTAAAGAGCGAAGGGAACAAAATAACATAGAATTAACTTTTTTTAAACTATGGCCATTGTACTAGAACAGGACTTGGAAAAGTTAACATACTGAAAGCACTTTCAAACCTATATTCTGTATATCCATAACATTATTAGTGTATTTCGATATACCACTTTCTCTTGCTTAAAAACCCACAGGGATAGAGACACATAATTTCCATGTCAATGGGTTGTTGTGAAGCAAGAACATACACACAAACATCTTCATACTACAAAGACAACTCTAACACGTAAATATATCACTGAAACAACAGAAGAATAAAGCAAAACAAGCACTATCTAAACCTTTTTGTACCTAATTCTTTCCAAAATCACACCCCTTTTTAAAGTGCCTCTTGTCTGTAGCTAATGCCGTTGTCTGCAGTACTTGGCACGAAAGCAGGGTTAGCTGTTTTACTACCCTAACGCACAGGAACAGAGCAACCAGCTTTTGGATGGATGCTTCCTATGCTTGGAGAAAAGTTGGGAATTCCTGCTTTTAAATTAGAACAAAGCATCCTCAGACATCCTGCTCTCTGACAGAGCAACAGCCCAAATGTCTTCTCTTAAAAAATATGCACGTATATTGCATACAAATATGTATTTGTTCTTGTGCCCAGTTTGAAGAAAGCACCGGAATTTAAGCCCTGATATCAAATAGTTTTCTCTCAACTCTATATATCTTCCAGGTACAGAGAGAAGTTTCAAAGGAAAGAGTTACCAAGGATAAAGAATTGCTCCTATACAGCTCTTCGCATGCACTCCCGGGCTGGGGGGGACCGCAGATGGGGCAGTACTCCCAGCAGAGTGCCAGGCAGCCTGCCACCGTGCCTCGTCTAGGTTTAATTAGCCCATGGAAGTCATTCAATTCTAATACTATTTCCAGCACAACCACAATAAAAATTAACTTCTCCAGTTCAGCAGAAACTTGTTGAGAAGTTGTAGCATTACTTACAGGCAATTTCTTTTCTCAAAATGGATGTCCAATAGCACACACCTTCAATTTTTCTGCACGTACACAATAATGTCCCACCATCAGCTTGAAGTTAAAGTCAGACTGCTCCTACAAAAAGCACTAGTATTTTACGACAAACTAGCTTCAGTTTATGCACATTAACATTTGTCACCTTACACAGTTAAGTACCATTTGCTATACTTGTGTTATGCTTATCCAAAGGCATTTCCAGCATATTAAGAACTAAAAAATTTGCTGAGTCAGAAAAGTTAATTTTCTCTAGGTTAATTCTTTCAAGGTATAGTAAGATATGGAAATCTTCAGAATGAAATGAGCAAATATATGTGAATACAAACAATATAAGAACATGTGAGATTCTTTGTGGGAAATGGGATATTAGCAGCGTAGAAGGGGCGGGGAGAAGGGAATGGAAATGCCAACATAACAGCATGTCAATAAAGATGAACAACAAAAGGACCTTCCCAAATGCCTCTCCAACACTTGTTGGTAATTTTGAGCCATTGTAGAAGGTAGGACTGTTTTGTTTGTCCAAACCATAAAGGAGTACAATGTCATCAACAACCATGAAAAAACAGATAATACATTTTGAATGAAGCACAGGTTTCTTCCCCACTTAGTGGGATTGGGACAATTCCAGTAACGTCTGCAGTCAAATATTCTACAAGTTAATTCACAAGTTTGGGATAGATCCTGTATCAAACACTACACACACAAGCAACAGCTTTGTTCATCATTACTAGAGTACAGATTTAAATTTACATTCTATTCAATTAAATCATACAGCGTCATGCCACAACAGCAACAGCAATTAACCTATTGATCATGAACTCCTTGAAAAGCTGCTCGGTAACAGTCTAAGGTAAGTTTGAAGAAAAGAAATCTAAAGGTGAAAAAAGTGCAGATTTTACAATGAGTAAACACACAAAAAGGTATTGAAACAGTATTATTAACATTTCCAACACTCCTCTCACACCAGTTAGATAAAAATTCATTTTAATTGCCTGAAAACAGGACTGAAGGAAGAAGCAGGGAGGGATGATCTCATAATTGTCTGAGATTACCAACACTTAAATAAAGCCAGGAGAGAGTTTCTTTCTGTATTTGGGATGGTAAGAGAAACAAACAGATTAACTCTTGAGTTATTTATGAACAGCTTGCAGCTTCAATCTAAGTGTCAGACTTCAATTGTGAATATTTAATTTTAACAACGTCATAGACCTTTTATGTTTTTTGGAAACTTTTGGGACCCAGGTCATGATGATATACAACCCATAGATATCTTTTATACATTTCCCAGGTGTTAAATTAAAAAGTGAGGTGTGATAGATGTGAGTAGTATACACAAATTGTGCTTTTTTAGGTCAGTGCTGTCACATTTATTTTATAATTATATGCTTCAAAGACTTATTAAAAGTTATGGGGAACAAAGAATGCATTTGAAGATATACAATATAAAAGGCTAGATACATTTTTGAAAAAAATATATCAGCAGTGTGAGAAGATGGGTATTCCTTAAAACAGTGGGTTTTCATAAGGGGGGAAAAAAACCCCAAACAATGGTATTTCTTCAAAATTGCTGTTTGTAATTTCGAAATATATATATGAGAGGGATGAAAACTGAACTAAAGATAAATATGTATTTATTGCAATGCATATGAAATACTGGAAGCTTTCCTTTTTGCATGACAAACTGACAGAGTTTTAATGGGAAAATTAAAATAAGATATAGAAATTAATTAGTATTACAAACCTCAATACAGACTACAACTTTAGAGCATTAAATCATTATTTTAATAAACTGACGACAAATGCAAGTACCTAAAGAACATCCAGTAATGTTATATAAAAGGATCATTATTGGTTTATAAATTTGTTATGATTATCACGATCTTACTACAGTGTAAGGTTCTGGAGTAATGTTTTCACAATCATAATATAAGCATATCAAAACACACAAAGCTCTTGAAAATAACCTTTTGGAGGCTGGGTGAGGAGAGGACACAAACCTGGGAACCAAACCCAGCGAAGAGTGGGGTGTGCAGCCACGCCGCGGCACCACGAGGGTGTGAGACCCCCCCAGGGTGGCAAGGAGCCCCACGGACCTCGGTGCAAGATACACCACGGGTCAAACCCACAGCAACTTCCACGGGGGAAAACCTGCGAAGCGGTCAGAGCTGTGTACTGAACACTATTAGATTACTAAAAATAAACCAAAGAAGAGGAATTCCCGTCCATTTAGGAACAATCTTGTCTCTCAGCTTTCATGTGGACTTCAATGCAACGTTTGCTTAAAAGGCAGGGTAAGAGGCACGATCTTCTCATCTTTGGTACAACAGGACAACAATTTCTTTAAAGTTTTAGACCTTCCATTAAACTACAGGATTTCTCCAATTTTTATTTAAATTAAATACCATTAATTAATCCAAAACTAAAAATAGTTACCAAGATATGCATCTTGCCTTCCTTCTTACAGTGGTTAGACTAAATAGGAATGTTTCCCTCTGTAGAGGACTAACATGTAGATCAGTGTCTTGATCTGAGCCTTTTGGAAAGCTTGCTACTTATTTCAGCTATGACTTCAAATAAATAAATATACATACATGCACCAATTCAGTTCAGTGCTAAAGGCTAAAGAAACAAAAGCAAATTTTTGAGAGCACCGAATAAAGTCTCAGCAGCAGCAGCAAGAGGACAAACACATGAAGTCTGAGTGCTTGGTTCTCAACAGCAAACAAAAATTACTTATTTTTATCTCCTTAAAGGGATTTACTAAATGCCAGTGATGATGGACACCAGTTTCATCTTATACCAGAAATTGAAGTGAGCTATGGAGAAAAGGACTCAGCATTTGCCAAACAGAAAAGGATAAAATTACTATCCAACATTACAGAAGTCAAATACATTTTTGAATAATATAATTTTACTTATAATAGCAACACTTACCAGCTGCCTCAAGAACCAGCTGTAATCTAGCTTTGGCCTGTTCAGCAGGAGTCTGAAAAGAGAGGATTTATAAATCTTCATAACTGTTTGCACATTTGACATGCAAGGTCACACATTACCAACTACGGCACCGCCATCACCGACAGGGAGCTCTCACTCTGCGAGTGGCTCCGTGCTATGCGCCGTCCAAAGAAACTTCCAGACTGAAATGAATACTATCACATTTGAGTTAGAAACTATCAGGTAAATTTTCAGAATTGACAGAAAATACCGTCCCGATTGGGTAGCGCTGTGGCACCCCGACCAACCTGAGCACCCAGTGCCAGGCTGAAGGCCACCTCCAGCTCCTTTCTCAGTCCTCCAACACCAAATCCTCCCCAGCATCTTGGTGTCCTCATTACACAAAAATACAGGGCTACATAAGCATGCTCAAAATCTGGGTTTAATATGATTAATATGGCGAGTTTTTCACACTACTTCTGTTATCTGTTTTGACTTCTTCTCTCTCCTTAAGGTATTTCTTCACATCTGTTGGGTTAAGGAACATATTGTTGGCTGTGTACCCACTATGCTAATTATTCCAAGTGATGTTTTACTGTGTCCAATGTGCTTGCCATCCCTCTAATTTTGAAGCCACTCAAACGTTTTCACAGTTAAATTTATACACAAAACACATTCGTCATGGAGTTCAGAAGTTGATTATTTCTGTAAGCATCCGAAAAGTTTGGGAGGTTTCTGCTCTGCACTAAAACCAAAACATGATGAAAATTTGTGGTGTCATTGTTCAGCTTTGAAAACTCTTCTAGGCAGATATTGATACTAGAACGTCTTTTCTGATAGCCAGTCTGAATTGGCACCCTTCCAGTTTCACCCCATTAGCCATACAAATATTAATCAAGGTAATCAGGCAAAGCTCTTTGCTATGAATGTCCCAGCTGATGATGCTCTGTAGGGAAAGAGAGTTAGCTTTTCTCAAAATCTCTTTCAACCAGAGATGTCTCAGATTGCATTGTGCTCAAACGCAGATTTTTACAGCAGGATCTATGTCACACTATTATAAAATATGCTTAAAATGGCCACCTTCTACCAATTCATAAAAATCCCCACTTTCTGCTTTTTAGGGGCTTATTTCTTTTTATTTATTTTTTAATCCTTTGTTTTACATTATGTCTACACCTATTAAGAGAGGCTAACTGATGACAAAGAGCAATTCAATTCCTACTACAAAAATTTTTAGGCTGCGCCTTTCATTAGCATGCAATATGAAAGACGTCACATTAATCCGCAGATTGAGAAATTTAAATGAAGATCCAGATTTTAGCTGTACAGAGGCCTAATATTTTTAGTTTATAATTTTGCTAGCTGTTTGCACAAACTCAAAACTACTGGGCAAAATTTACTATTATAACTACTATACCAATGCTACCATCAGAGTTGACCATTAATTTTGGTGACAGAGGAAAAATCTTGAAATTTATTGTAAAAATATCTTCAAAATTCTTCCTCTTGCAACGAACTAATTATTACAATATGTTTTGGTATATTAAGTACGTTGCTACAGGAAAGAAAGGAGAGGAAGAAAAAGATCTGCTTTCCATCCAGAACAAACTCGCCCAACTTCCTAAAGTTTCAGAAAAGCTGTACTTGGGTTTGCGGTTTTTCCATTCCTATGACAACTTTAGATTTTAAAAAAATACCAGGGTTACTTCAGTATGGCAAACTATTGCAGCACAATTTAGCAGAGAAGAAAAAGCGTTTGGTGTAAAATATGATCTGCGCTCACGTCTTCACATGAACAGTCCAAGTCTTTGTGCAACCCCATCTATCAGGACATTAAAGCAGTCTCCTGTATTTATTTTGTCCATTCTGCAAGAAAGTGTTTGATTAACTTAACTGCTCGCCCACCCTGTCCAGGCCACAGTGCATCCCCACAGCCTGAGCAGTTTGCACAAGCATCCTCCCAACCTCTGACTCCCACGGGCTGCCCAACCCAACGCAGGCAAAAGCACAAGCCAACGCATTTCTAAAGCAGCTTTTTTCTGTAAGACTCAAGTGTCTCTCAAATGCTACGCCACTGGTTGCGTTGAGACACAATTTTCTATTCTTACAGTAATTATCCAGTCAGATATTTAAAAAAAGTTTCTGGACTTCTCAAATAAAAGGATCTCTTATTTTTGGCCACGGAACAGTCTGTTTAGCACTAGAGAATAGAGAAAGATGTTCCACTGACAGTTATTAGCATATTCAAAACCCACAGTGGCAACATCTAGCACTACCACACAAAGAGCAATTCCCTGAAAAAGCAAATGTTAAACCAGTCTCCAGATGGAGAGAAGGGAAAGCAGTGAGCAGCAGTACAAGTGCCGCCTCCCAGCACTGTACATGAAGCTCCACCAACACTGACACAACTGATCCCCCTGCTCCGAAGTGCTCCACATAACCCAAAATGCCTTCTCCCACTCTTCTCATGGAGGCAGGAATGCGTCTTGTCAGTATAAGGTAGGTGAGACTAAAATTATTCTTCTACTCAGCAATATCCTGCACAGGCAGTTGCTTTCCAGATGTCTTCCCCTTCACCCTGACCGCAGACGTAGCACTGACACTCCACTGCTTATGGACACTGGCATACCCACAGGAGAACTTGGTATAGATGCCTGTCTGTTATCAATCAATATGCCCTAAACAACGAATGGATGAAGGGTTTTCAAATACAGGTTACTATCTTCGCTCCAGAAAGCACTTGTCCAACTGGTTGATGAGGCCAACGCTCTGAGAAAATGGACAAAGACGAATTCATCTGAAAATCTCAATTAAACCCCCCAAACAAGCTGTTAGCAATGTGTGAGAAAGACCAACTACTGGATGTTAGTATTGATTTAGAAGACCATTAAGTGGAAAAAATCAGAAAAACCCTCAGGAAACTTAAAAATGGTGAAATGATTGATGTAGGAAACATTATCAGAGCGATGTTAAGCTCAAGTTGCAAAATAAACCCTCTTACTTTCCTTACAGTCTTAAGCATAACATGGAAAGAAAAGAATTCAAAATAGTGTAAAGAAAAACAGTATTTGTAAGTATTTATAGTACCAGCTGATGAAGGTGACCACAAACTGTAAAAGCAGGAAAGGAATTTCTCTAACAGGCACATTGTAAAATGATTCGAGGCGTGTCGAGTATCTGTAACGACGAGTTTTACATATGTCAAACAGTGCCTGGTAACACACTAGAATCATGCTTTAGAAAACAATGGTATACTATAGGATACCATTAAACAGAAATATCCACGTCATTAATAATTGTTATTAATCTCTCAAGCAAAAACTTGATTATATGTATTCAATTTTTAATGCAAGCTTTTTTAGGAAGATGTGGCACATCCTTCCTAAATTGTATTTCTTTGCAGAATGTCCACTGAGTCACATCACTACTGTTTTCATAAGTAGTATATTTTTTTTAATAAAACTGCACTAAAACCAGTGTCTCATGACTTTAAATTTGGTGCTTACTTTGTAAAAAAAACCACACACAATAGTGCATGTGGGTCTTGTCAGTATTGGAAAACATTACATTATCACAAGATTCAAGCAGTTAATGATGCTGAAGTATTTTGAGTTGCAATGCTCCCTTACCTGATTTTTATGAACATAGAATTTTGATAGAGAATATGTCACTGGTCTGTGCTAAAACTGGACATGCTCAATTTCTCCTATTCATCACTAATGACATTGGTTGGGTATAATTTAACTACAGGACTTTACTCTCTTTTAACATCTCTATAAAAGCCTAACAAACCTTAGTGTGATAGTGATCAATTTTTGTGGATTTTTTTTACACAGATGTTTTATCTTTTTATCGAATAAAGACAACAATAGCAATCCTTAAGCCCTCTACCAGCAGAGATGAGTGGCAGCCCCTAAATGCCACGATTCCCATAGCAAACATGATTCCATTCCTTAGCTTAGATACACATGCAGCCTGAAATTATAACTCAATGTTCTACTTGCAGAGAGGACGTAAGATATCAAATTTGTTTAACAAAAATAGTCAAGTTCGTAATTTAAAAAGATTTTCCACTTACTGATAAAACCAGAATTTCCTGCAGGCATTATGTTACACTAGAAAACTATGAAGCTATAGACCTCCGACCCTTGCAAGCTAGTTTGTTTATACTAGTTGAAAAGTCTTAATGTTATTTCTGCCCCTGCAGAAAAGGTTTGTGTCCAGGTTTCTTTCAGAAGATGACTCATGGCCTCATGGCCAAATGCCATTGTAACAGTGGCAATATAGTATGTTCCTACTCATATTTTGGGGATGATATTAGCACAACCAGACATGGCACCTGAAAAATAGAATGTGAATTGTAGTTGTGTCAAATACAGATTTCCTCAGCGAGATGTCATTTCCTCAGGTTCAAATTGCTCTCGATGCAAATGTATACAGTAAAATTCCAGTTTAAAAAACAAAATCAAAACAACACCCAAAGGACTCAGCAGGTAACCACTATTTAAGTAACCTTATATATGATTTTGAAAGCTCAAATCCATCTTCTTGTTTTAACTCCAGCCTATCCTCAGTTTTCTGGGGACACTTAGCTAGTCTTTCCCAATGCCTGATGAGCACAAAAAGAGGTTAAGAAAAAGTGTGACAAGAAAAAGCAAGAACAAAACCAGAAGTTTCCTAGTTGTCTGAAGAGACAGTGATCCAAAACTATTGGAAATACTTCCAAAGTGGGTCAGAAACCTAAAGCAAACATCGTTTGCAATGAATTCCAGAAAAAGAAAAGTTGGCAAGGCTGAGAAAATAAGAGAAATTCCCCAGTGTTACTGCAACCACGACTCTTCTGGAGGCTTCATCAAGTGATTCTGTTTGTACATTCTTCTCAAGGCTTGCTTTCCACTCATGACCAAAGGAATTGTATAGGAAAGAAAAAAATATTTTTTTTTTTTTAAATATTGAAGTGAATTGATTCTTCCCGCAATTCAGGAAATGCCTGACAGTGCAGTCTCCTCACCTGCAAATCCTGAACTGCGTCAGGCTCCACGTTGCCAGCAG